TGGAGCATGCTCAAGTCCAGAAGAGAGGACACAACGTCCTCGCGAGTAGCAAGCTGCTCGCTGCAACGGGCTGAGCAAATGGCTCGACGCGTCGGTAGTCGCGGCGGGAAAGGAGGGGAGACGGTGGTCTGCGGAGGCGCAGACGGTACTGCGACAGAGGGCTGAGTACACTCTGTCGAGTCCTGCGATACCTCAACTCCAGTAGCGAGAGGGTCGAACCGCGACGGAGATGTCGGGAAGCCCACTACTGAGGAGGGCGCAGGTGTACACTGCACCGTGGCTAGGAGGCGCCGCGGGGACATGAGGCGCCGGGGGGGGACTGAGCACGACGCTGACGAGAAAGGTCAGCGTAGTGGCTGTCGAGGGCGGTAGTGTAAGGGCACCGCGAGGAGGTATGACCGTCCAAGCGGCAACGCAAACACCCACGTCGGCCCATAATAGCCGCGCGCTCCTCAATGGAAAGGACACTGCGAGGAGGGACGAAGCCCTGAGGGAGGTCCTCTTGAAGGACCTCGGGGGGCGACGCGCCAGCGTGACCGGGGCGGCTGCGTGCCCGAGAGAGGGCGGAGAGCGCGAGCTGAAGGCACTCAGCTGCAGGGAGGGTCGAGTCTTCCAAGTGATAGTGGACGGCCTCGCAGAGATCGAGGTCGTCGCTGTGGTCGCCCTCAGATGACAGTGGGGCAACAACGTCCTGCTCACCATACTCCAGCGCGCTGAAGCGGTGCGAGAAGTGGCGGCCCTACTGCGTGGAACGGCGGGGGCGACCTCGGAAAGGGGAACGGCGTTGGGAAGTGCCGTGAGAGGAGGAGGAAGCGTAGCCCGTGCGCTGGGGCTGGGAAGAGGAGGTGGGGTGAAGACGGGCTCACATCCGCTAGTGGTCCCTGGCGGCCTCGTAAGCCTGTGGGGCCGATGTGAACTCGTACCGCCATAGCTCGGAGCGGTACTCGAGTGGAAGGCTGGCCAAGAAACGATCGATAAGGGCAGCYTCGGGGAGGAACGCCACGTCGCAAACGAGGCGGGCGTCCTAAAAGACCTGGATGTGGCGATCCAGGCCGGCAGCGCCACCAGAGCCGGACCAGCGTGTAGTGACGACACGCTCGAAGGCGTCAGTCACGTCGTGTCGGGCTCCGAACCGATCCTCGAGGAACGCCTGGAAATCTACGAAGGTCGGAGTCCGACCCTCACGRAGGGAGTAGGCATAGAAATCCTCCCTAGCCTCGAAAGGACCGCCACACAGGCGCGTGGAGAGGTGACCCACCCACGTCTCGGGTGTGGCGCCCATGAGCTGGAGTGTGCGGCTGGCAAACTGCAGCCATCGAGAGACGCGTATGCCTGTACCGTCATACAAGGCAATGTCCGACAAGCGGATGAGTGGTGCGCCACCATTTTGGCGGCGAGGGGAATTGAGGAGCGGAGGCCTGTGCCACAGCTGAGTAAGTCGGCGCAGGTCCTGGAGAAAGGGGCGCAACTGACTGTGCGCCCGGGCCGCATGGGGGAGCGGCGGTGGCAACAGCGGCAGGATGCGAGGGTGCTGCGGTAGAAGAGGTCGCAGCAACCGCGGGAGTAGGAAGAAGGTAGGAAGGAGTTGTATAGGGTGCAGGGCGCGGAAAGCGAGCCTGCATGGGAGGAAGGGTAGAGGAGGTAGGGGGTGCGCCCGAAGGCGCGGCCACCTATGAGGGTGGAGGTGGCTGAAGGCGTAAGAGGGCGAGGTCGGCCCGGAGCTGGGCAATCTCGTCTGCGAGACCTCGCACGTAGGTTGATCGAGGGGTGGCAGGAGGAAGAGTGGAGGGGGTGGACGCAGAAGCGGCGTGGGGCATCCCAGAGGGGGGAAAGCCAGGTGGGACTGCGGTCGTGCGAAGGGGAGGGAGAAGCGGGGCACCCAAAAAAACTCAGACCATGGTAGCGGGTTGGGGTGGCAGGAGGAAGAGTGGAGGGGGTGGACGCAGAAGCGGCGTGGGGCATCCCAGAGGGGGGAGAGCCAGGTGGCACTGCGGTCGTGCGAAGGGGAGGGAGAAGCGGGGCACCCAGAAAAACTCAGACCATGGTAGCGGGTTGTTGTACCGTGGCCGTAGGGACCGGGATCTGGGTGGGTGCGCCCGAAGACTGAGGGGGGGCCTGGCTCGTGGCGGCCATCGTGCTAGGGGCGTGGACAGTCACCGAGATGGCCGAGTTAGGAGCAACGGAGGAGGAAGCTCTGCCGTGGCCACCCTGTCGGAGGACGGGGGACCCGGACTGGGAGCCAGGAGATGACGGACACGCAGCGTCCTGGAGTTGCTGCATGCCAGCGGCAAGGGTCGCCACCTGTGCCTGTAAGGGTGCGAGGGTTGCGAGTTGCGCCTGGATGGGCGCAAGGGTCGCGAGTTGGGCCTGGATGGGCGCAAGGAGGGAGGTGAGGAGGGTGTGTAGATCCCCCTGGGGTTGATGGCCTTGCTCCGCCGACACGGGTGTGGAGCCCGATGCCGTGGTCATCGCCGTGTCGGCGGCGTGTGACGCACCGTCGGCCATGGGGAGATGACGGACCGGACTGGAGCGGGCCAGAAGAGGTCCGGGTGAGCGGAAGGCGTAGGGGGAAGTCCGCAGTAGAAAGCGGCGAACGGCGCTAGCAAGGCTAGCACGGGCGCCGTCAAAGGGGGAGAGGTGGTTCGGGTCCAGGGTGCTCGAAGAGGACGGGGAAGTAGGGGGGTTTTGAGGAACCCTAAACCCTACAAAAACCCTAAGAAAACCCTAACCGAGGTTTAAGTTGCTAGGGTACGGTACCAATGACCTAATCAAGAAAGTAAAATAGCAAGCATAAGGGGGGGGGGACGGGAGAAAAATAAATAAACAGCGATATTTCGAGAGAAAATAAAAATAAATAAAAAAATAAATAAATAATAAAAATAATTAAAGAAATAAGTAAAGAGATGTGAAGTAAAACAATATTTATTTATTTATTTATTTATTTATTTATTTTTGAAATTTTCGATAGCATTTCCCTACCCCCCACGGGGTCAAGAATGTGCCAAGGGGAAGGGAGAGACCAAGGTGAGCACACTAGGTGTCAAGATGCCGCAAAAAAAAAAGAAATTTTAGAAAATAAATAAAGAAATAATAGATAAAAAGATAAATTTAAAAAATAAATAAATAAAGAAGTAAAAGTGGATGAAGAGGTGGGGAGGAATGACGTATCTAATTTGTCAAAAATTTTGGCAGCATTTCGTTACCCCCATGGGGTCGAAGTGTGCCGAGAAGACGAAGTGAAAGAAAAAACAGAAAATTTCGGCAGCACTTTGTTACCCCCACGGGGTCAAAATGTGCGCCGAAAGTAGTAAAGACTAACACCTAATCAGATTTAGGGTTGCCGTAAAGAAAATCGAATTTTCAGACTAAATAGAAAAATAAATAAAATAAATCAGAAAATGAGAAAAGAAGGTGGGAAAGAAGATATTTCGAATTTTTGAAAAAGAGAGAAGATAAATCAAGAGAGAGATAGAAAAA